TTCATGCAAGGAAAGCAGCAGAAGTCTTTCTTTCTCTCCCCCAAACTCCGCCAGAAATGAGTCTTTGCCGTCGCAGCCTCTTGGAGCAGGAGGCCTTGCAGGGTCCCAAAGACTCATTTCTGGCGGAGGTTGTGGGAGAGAAAGAAAGACTTCCGCTGCTTTCCTTGTGCGCAGCCAAAAGGAGAAGAAGAAAGAAGCGGAAAGAAGCAGCCCGGTGGCCAGGCCAGGCATGTGGGGCAAGTTCCCCCCACTGCCCTTTCTCCCCTCCCCTCACTACCTCGTGTTGTTCACAATACAAGCGATGCAAGCCATGTGTTCCCATGGGTCATGTGGGTGGAACAGCCTTGTGTTCCCGTGCAGCCTGGATTCATTGCTTTGGGGGTGACGTTTCTCTGCGGGCCACCAAAATTTTCTCGCGGACCACCAGTGGTCCCCGGCACACTGTTTGGTCACACTGGGTTCTGGCACATGCATGCGCGTTGGCCAGCTGGTCTTCGCATGTGCCTGCGTGCCAGAAACCGGAAGCTCGGCTTCCTGGTGCGTGCATGCACGCTGGGGAGCTGCTCTTCCAGTTTCCGGCCCTCTCCCCGCGCGCTTCCATTTTGGCACTCGATGCTGAGAAGGTTTGCCAACACTGCCCTATACAATTTAGGACAAGTGGCTCCCCCGGTCTCTTCTTAAAAACCTCGAGGGGTTTGTTTGTCCTGTGTTAAACAATACGTGGTCATTAAGTGAATTCAGCTTCGCCCACTGCTTGTCGGAGGTGGCTGGGAAGGTTACCAACCATGATCCCATGATCCAAGGACCATGGCGGTTATCATGAAATCAATGTCGGTGGCCAATTTTTGATCACGTTACTGTGGGGTTTGGGTGCCATGGTCATAAGTGCGGAAACTGATCATAAGCCATTTTTTTTCAGCGCCGTTGTAACTTCAGAGCATTCCTGAATGAATGGTTGTAACTCCAGGACCCTTTGCCCTGGTTCCATTAGGCAATGTAACATTCAAAAATTATTTCAGTTCTCGGTGACTCAGTGATATTATCTGCATACAAAAGTACATTCGTGTTCAAAGCCAACATTCCTCCTCCTTGTTATTACACCACAAACATTCCATCAATATATAAACAACCAAGGGAATATCACACATCTTTGTTGTGCTCCTTGTTCGGTGTTGAATTGTCAGGCATTCTGTTTATTCTGCTACATGCTTCACTTCCATCATGTACTGCTCTTACCCCATTTAGCAATGAACTTTTGAGGTGTTTTTTTTTTTTTGTTATATATAGCCCTTTAAAATTCTGTGCAATTCTGTGTACAGTTGGGTTCAAATCATATTAAATCCGATTAAAAAGAAGAGCTATTAAAATGCAGCAAAGCAGCAACTCTTTCTATTGTAGTCTCAATCAATATTAATCAGAATACAGCTGGAAGGGACCTTGGAGGTCTTCTAGTCCAGCCCCTGCTCAAGCTGGAGAACGTATACCATTTCAGACAAGTGACTGTCTAGTCTCTTCTTAAAAACCTCTAGTGATGGATCACCCATGATTTCTGGTGGCAAGTTGTTCCACTGGTTAATTGTCCTCACTGTTAGGAAGTTTCTCCTTAATTCTAGGCTGCTTCTCTCCTTGATCAGTTTCTAACCATGATCAGTTTCTAACCATTGTTTCTTGTCCTTTAATCCAGGGATCCCCAACCTCCAGGCTGCGGCCCGTTATTGGGCCATGAGCCATTTGGAACTGGGCCACGGAAGCGGTGGGGAGGCATGCGCCTCCCCACTGGAGCAAGCAGCGGGCGAGCATGTGGATGCATGCTCC